CACAGCCTGTCAAGAAGGAGTGGAGATGGCACACGGAGCCAGGTGTTCAAGAGAAGGGTAAGGAAAGAGGGCAGACAGAGATAAGAAACCAAGAAAGAAAAGACAAAAAATAAATGCTCTGAGGGAGCCCCCTAGCATGGTGGCACAGACCAGGTTAGGGGCTTCCTAGCTGAGCAGCACTGCACAGCCTACCAAGAAGGAGCAGAGCTAGCACATGGCACCAGGTATCTGGGAGAAAGGAAAGGAAGGGAGATAGAGAGAGACAAGAAACCAAGAAAAGAAAGAAATAATGTGTTGAGGGAGCCCTCTGGCTTTGCAGTGCATTCTGGGGAAGGGACTCCCCAGCGAGCAGTGCTGCACAGCCCATCTAGAAGGAGCAAAGATGGCACACAGTGCCAGGTGTTCAGGAGAAAAGAAAGGAAGGATGGTAGAGAGAGACAAGAAACTGAGAAAAGAAAAATAAATAAAAAGCCCCAAGGGAACCCAATGGGAGAAGAAATCAAAACAAGCAACAACAGCAAAAAAAAAAAAAAAAAAATGACACTGAAGGATCTGGCTGGTGTGGGGGGCAAATCCAAGCAACAAGGAGCCGATGTCTCCCTGGCTGAGTGACTGCGGCCTGCCAGAAAGTGGCAGAGGCTGAGCAGGGGGAAGAAGGGTGGGGGGTGGGAAAGCATGTATCGCTGGTTACTAGGTGCTTTGTTTCCTGCTGGGAGCTCTATGAAGCTACCTTCTCATACTCCCTGTCTGATGTTCTTGGTGGCTGAGAGGTGTCCAAGATGGTGAATCTGTGCTCTGTTAGCTGATGGGGGACCTCCAACTCCTTAGCTCTCTGTTCTCTCTCAGTTTCTTCTTCCATTCAGTGCTTGGTTGAGTACTTTATCCCTTCATTTACACTTAGGGTTCCAGGATTAACGTTTATCTCTGTTTTACTTTGTTTGGTCTTTGCTGTGGAAGATGGCTGTCTATATAGAGTCACGTTGGCTCCTGAAACTTGCTCTTGAATGTCAAGTAGCTAAAGAGAAATGAAGAAATGTTGAACTGAACAGAAGATTTCAAAGGGCAGCTCCTGAAGATATAAAGTATTATAATGAAATGTGCAAAGACCTAGAGTTAGAGAACCAACAGGGAAGAACACGCTTGGCATTTCTCAAGCTGAAAAAACTGAAAAAAAACTTAAGTCTCAAGTTGCAATACTGAAGGGTTCCATGGGCAAAATACTGAATGTTTCAGGAAGCATCAAAAGAAGATGGAAGGAATACCCAGAGTTGCTGTACCAAAAAGAATTGGTCAATGTTCAATCATTTCAGGAGGTAGCATATGATCAAGAACCAATCAAGGAAGAAGTCCAAGCTTCCCTGAAGGCATTGGTGAAAAACAAGTCTGCAGGAATTGATGGAATACCAATGGAGATGTTTCAACAAAAGGATGCAGCACTGGAAGGGCTCACTTATCTATGCCAAGAAATTTGGAAGACAGCTACCTGGCCAACCGATTGGAAAAGATCCGTTTTTATGCTTATTTCAAAGAAAGGTGATCCAACAGAATGGATAAGTTATCAAACAATATCATTAATATCACACAAAAGTAAAATTTTGCTGACGAGATTCAAAAGCAGTTGCAGCAGAACATCGATAGGAAACTGCCAGAAATTCAAGTCGGATTCAGAAGAGGATGTGGAATGAGGGATAGTATTGCTGATGTAAGATGGATCCTGGCTGAAAGCAGAGAATACCAGAAAGATGTTTACCTGTGTTTTACTGACTATGCAAAGGCATTTGACTGTGGGGATCATTGTGGATAATGGATATTATCCATTATGGATAACATTGCAAAGAATGGGAATTCCAAAACAGTTAATTGTGCTCATGAGGAACCTGCACATAGATCAAGAGACAGCTGTTCAAACAAAACAAGAAGATACTGCATGGTTTAAAGTCAGGAAAGGTGTGTGTCAGGGTTGTATCCTTTCACCATACTTATTCAATCTGTATGCTGAGCAAATAATCCAGGAAGCTGGACTATATGAAAAAGAACACGGCATCAGGATTGGAAGAAGGCTCATTAACAACCTACTTTATTCAGATGACACAACCTTGCTTGCTGAAAGTGAAGAGGACTTGAAACACTTACTGAGGAAGATCAAGGACTACAGCCTTCAGTATGGATTACACCTCAATATAAAGAAAACAAAAATCCTCCCAACTGGACTGATAACGGAGCCCAGATGGCACAGTGGTTAAACATTCAGCTATTAATCAAAAGATCTGCAGTTCAAATCCTCCAGCTGCTCCTTGGAAACCATATGGGGCCGTTCTACTCTGTCCTTTAGTGTCTCTATGAGTTGGAATCAACTCGACAGCAACGGGTTTGTTTGTTTGTTTTGGACCAATAGGCAACATCATGATAAATGGAGAAAAGATGAAGTTGTCAAGGATTTCATTTTACTTGGATCCACAATCAACACCCATGGAAGAAGCAATCAAGAAATCAAACGACATATTGCATTGGGCAAGTCTGCTGCAAAAGACCTCTTTCCAACGTTAAAAAGCAAAGATGTCACTTTAAGGACTAAGGTGCACCTGATCCAAGCCATGGTGTTTTCAATCGCCTCATATGCATGCGAAAGCTGGGCAATGAATAAGGAAGACTGAAGAAAATTGATTCCTTTGAATTATGGTGTTGGCGAAGAATGTTGTGTACACCGTGGATTGCCAAAAGAATGAACAAATTTGTCTTGGAAGAAGTACAGCCAGAATGCTCCTTAGAAGCAAGGATGGTGAGACTTCATCTCACCCACTTTGGATTTGTTATCAGGAGGGATCTGTCCCTGGAGAAGGACATCATACTTGCTAAATTCGAGGGTCATTGGAAAAGAGGAAGACCCTCCACGAGATGGATTGACACACTGGCTGCAACAATGGGCTGAAGCATAACAACGGCATGAGTATGGTGCAGGAACGGGCAGTTTTTCTTTCTGTTGTACATAGTGTCACTATGAGTTGGAACCAACTCGACGGCACCTAACAACAAGAACAATCTTTGTGGAAGCAGATTGCCAGGTCTTTCTCCCACAGAGCCACTGGTTGGGTTCGAACTGCCAACCTTTCGGTTAACAGCCACTCACCAAACTGTTAAACCACCAGGGCTCCTTATTATATGCATATGCCATAAATGATTTATCTACTCTACTGTTGATGGACATTTGAGTAATTTCCAGTTTTTGAATACTACAAATAGCGCTGCTATGAACATGCTTGTACATGTCTTTTGGTGAACACATGGACACATTTCTGCTGGGTATATACCTAGGAGTGGAATTTGGATTGTAAGGTAAGCATATGTTCAGCTTTAGTAGATATGCCAAACAGTTTTCCAATGCCTTTGTATCCAATTCAGGTTTTTAAAAACAATGTCTTTCTTTAATATATACAAACAACACTTGGTTTGTATTTTAACCCCATTTGAACTTAGAGAATATGTTCATATGTCTATCTGCCCCACTGTGAGCTCTTTGAGGATACCGTCCAACCCACTGGTCTTTGCATTAAATGTATATTCCGCAGTGGATGCTCAATAAATATTTGTTGTATAATTGAACAAATGAACTTACAGGAGATCCACAATTTGCCCTGAGGTATAAGGTAGATGTGCAGTTCTTTGAGACTCTAGCTTTGCTGTTAGTAAATGCTGTTTTCTTTCATCCAAAAATTTAGAACACACTTGCATGACTTTGCAACCTCTTTACAATATCCAAGCCAACCAACTGTTTAAACCGAAAGCCTATCACTTAAATTTCCTGGCTCTGGTCCAGAATATCTCCCCTGGCTCAGACATGGCTTAGGGATTTCCATCTCCATTTAGTGATGGTATGCGTGATGGATAAGATGCAATATGCCTTGAGATGGGATAATTAAATGCATACTGGTAATAAGAGATGGGGAGTATAATGAAATAAAGGCTACGTAAGATGTAAGAAGGAATGCTGTCATGGGATAAGCAGTTAGTGAGATACAGGCTGGTTGAGATGCAGTGAAGACACGGGAGGAATTTTGAGAAAGGAATCTTTTTACCAAAGCTTTAGCTTTAGCTTTAACTGAAACCTGGCTTTTCCTTGTAGCCCTCTTAAGTCATCACTTTTAATTCTCGTTTTTTTCCATGCCTCTCAGAATCCAAAGGAAACATCAGGTTCTCCTTCATTTCCACTGTCTGTCCACTGCTTTTCCAATCTCATTAAAAATTCCTGCTTCCATGAGGCTTAGGCCATATAACTGGATCACTTGCTGTCTCTTCTCATTGCAATCATATGAACTTCTTGTCACCTTTTCTTGTTCGTTAAAGACTTTGGCAACCGGCTTTCAGAATTCCTCACCCTTTAACTCCTGTCATCCTAGAAGACATCACCCCACCCCACCCCCATGTGAGATTACTCAACCAACATGCTAGACCTTCCTCTTCTATGACTTTCCCCTCCCAATCGTTTTTACCCGTCCACTCAAGAGCACACCTAAATTGTGTAACTCACTTTAAACTCTCTATTTCTGAGATTAAATTCAGACATCCTACTCTCAAACCACAACCCTCTACATTTCTACCTTACTTACCTAATGACTCCTAATTACCAGTTCTTTTACCTTTGAGCCCAATATTTCTACCTATTTATTAGCCCCTCCTATCTTGATTTCCCTTCACACCCAGTTTAGATTACATCATCCATCCTTGAAGACTCTCTCTTTCCAATAGCTGAAACTCTCATGGCCCACAGTATCACACAAGTCAATTTAGGCAATGGCATTTAGTGAAGAATACATATCCATCATACAAATGAAAAAAGTGTAATGAGAGATGAAGTCTATAATTAAAGAAAGACTACCCTAATGAGATGCAGGGAGAAAATAAGACATGAGACATGAGTTATGAAATGAGATATAGCAGCTGGATGTAACTTCCTGGCAAAACTCCAAGCTTAGATTGTCTTTAATTTTCTACTTTTTCTGCAGATACATTCAGGTTACTGGAGAAAACAATTTGGCAGATAGGTATGTTATTAGTTCATAATAACAAGTTTTAGCAAAAATATTTAGAACCAAATGATAAGAAAACCCTACATACCAAAACCTGTGGCATGCAACAAAAGCAAATCTTGAAGGGAATTCTTATAGCCTTAAATCCTTATGTTAGAAAAGAAAAAAAGGCTGAAAATTAATAAGTTACTCTTCTAGTTTAAGAAGCAAGAAAAAGAAAAACAGAGTAAACCTCAAGTTAATAAATAAGTCTAAAAGTATACATCAATGAAATAAAAAACAAAAAATACAATAGAGTAAATTAACAAGCTTGAAGTTGGTTTTAAAAAGAGTAACAAAATAGACAAAAGTCAAGCAATACTGATCGAGAAAATAGTAACATAAATAATTTAATTAATTAAAATAAAGACATAAGCACACAAATGCTTATAGGAGCTTTATTCATAATTGCCAAAACCTGAAGCCAACCAAGATATCCTTCAATTGATGAATGGATAAACAAACTATGGAATATCCATACAATGGAATATTGTTTAGTGGTAAAAAGAAATGAGCTACAAGCCACAAAAAGGTGTGGATGAATCTTAAATGCGTATCACTAAATGAAAGAAGCAAGTCTGAAAAGGCTATATACTGTATGATTACAAAGACAAACTATAGAGACAGTCAAATGATCAGTGGTTGCCAGAGGTTTGGGGTGAGGTGAAAAGTGGTTGAATAGGTACAGCACAGGTGATTTTTTAGGGCAGTGAAACTATTCTATATGATACTGTAATTGTGGCTACATGACAGTATTCATTTGTCAAAACCCACACAACTTCACAGTACAGAGAGTGAACTGTCTTAGGCTGGGTTCTGAAGAGAAGCAAAACCAGTAAAGCATGTAAGTATATAGAGAGATTTATATCAAGGAAACAGCTCATGCAATTGTAGAGGCTAAAACGTCCCAAGTCTGTAGATCAGGGTAGAGGCCTCTCTCACTTCACACAACCACGGAAGCTGGCGAACCCAAGGTAGGCATGTTTGAGAGGGACTCCTGCTCACAGGCTGTGAAGGTCAACGAATTCCAAGATCAGCAGACAAGACTGCAAGGTTTCTCCTGATTCACATAGCTGCAGGGGCTGGCGAACCCAAGATCAGCAGGTCAGGGAACCGGACTCTTGCTCACAGGCTGTGAAGATCGATGAATTCCAAGATCAACAGGTAAGCTGCTACCTCAAGTCCCAAGAACTGGAGGTGAGACAAGAGGCAGCTGTTAAGTCTGGAACAAGCCAAAAACTTTGGCAAGGTGAGCAGCAGAAAATAACCAGCAGAAGTCAGGGAGATGAAGCTGAGGGAGCAGTGAGCTGCCACAGGCCCCGCCCTCACCATTACCACTCAGCAGATTCCATCATGGGGGTAATCGCATATCAAATTTCAACAGGGAAGTGATCACAACATTATACAACTGCTAAAACACTAAGAATCATGGCCTAGCCAAGTTGACATACAATCTTAACCACCACTTGAACCTTAATGTACTTAAATTAAAAAAAAAATCATTTAGGAGATTGGGGGACCTCAAGATGGAATGAAGAATGTGACAAAACAATGTAAGTATATGACAAATGTATGAAACAACCTCACTGAAGGAGGTTGGAGGAAAAAAAAGATGCTGACCTAAATGACTTTGGAAGTGAATGGAGTCTGTAAAACTAAAGGTAAAAGAAACTGTACTCTAGTTGATAAAGTTATATTTCACAGGAGCATGTGATAACAATTTTGATACTGCTATACATGTTTGGAGCCCTGGTGGTGCAGTGGTTAAGAGCTACAGCTACTAACCAAAAGATCAGCAGTTCGAATCCACCAGCTGCTCCTTGGAAACCTTATGGGGCAGTTCTACTCAGTCCTATAGGGTCACTATGAGTTGGAATTGACTCCATGGCAACAGGTTTGTTAGTATTGAATTATAACCCAAAGCATAAAATAAATATCCATGAGTCTGTATTGATATGAATAAATGAATGAATAAATAAATAAGGGCAAGGAGACAAATCTCTCATGCAGAATTCCAAATAAATTATGTAGATACTCTACTCATGAGAAGGGGAAGCATAACTCCCCACTCTTTTAATTGTAGGCTGCATATAGTGAAGTGCTTAATATAGAAAGGGAGAGAGGAGAATAGCTTTAGAGTGGAGAAACTTTATAAACACTAATTCAGCCAGGTGGTCAAGGGCAGCATCACAGTGACAAGTCATGTTGATAGTATGTACCCTGGATATGATGTGATGAAAATGGCAATTTACCTCTCTGGTCTTCCTCCTCAAAACCCATAACCCTAGTCTTTTAACTTATTGATAAAAAGACAACCCAATTTAAAACCACTGGCAAAGGATCTGAGTAAATGTTTCTCCAAATACGATAAACAAATGACCAATCAGCACATGAAAGAAGCTCAACATCATTAGTCATTAGGAAAATACAAATTAAAATGACAATGAGATGGCACTTGACACTCATTAACCAAAAAAAACAAACCCAAGAGGTGGAGCCAACATGGTTCTCTAGATAGACACATCATGCCATCCCTCTGCAGCAAAGACCTGAAAAACTAAGTAAAACAGATACAAACATCAATCCTGGAACCCTAAGCATCAAATGAATGGACAAAGAACCAGATCAAACACTGAATGAAAGAAGAAACTGAATAAAAACAGAGAACAATGAGAGATACAGAGTGAAGGTCACCTGTCAACTAACACAGCACAGCTTTGCCATCTTAAATCACAGCCAGAAATGACCCCAGACAAGGAGTACAGGAAGGCAACTCCACAGAGCTCCCAACAGGAGACAGAGTATCCAGTAATCAGAGAAACATGTTTTCCCACCTCTCACCCTTCTGCCCTGCATGCCACTCCTAGCCCTTCCTGTGCCACTTAGCTAGAGAGCTACTGACCTGCTATCATCCAGGGTCCACCCCACCCCTACCCACCAGATCTTGCCATGCCATTTTTTCCCCTTTCTTCCTTTTCTTTTACTCTCCCACGTAGCACTGTACACCACCCCACCCCCTCCTGACAGGCAATGCTGTGCCATTCTGTTAGAGAGCTACTGGCCTGCCATCACCCTGGGTCCACCCCACCCCACCCCACCCACTGGTTCCTGCTGTGCCATTTTTTCCCGTCTTCCTTTTATATCTCTCTCCCACATATGCCACCACATCCCTTCTCAACAGGCTGCGCTGTGCCACTTGTCTATAGAGCTACCAGCCTGCCATCAACCTGGGTCCACTCCACCCCCACCCACCAGCTCCTGCCACACCTTTTTTTAAGCCTTACTTCCTTTTCTTTCTCCCTCCCACTGAGCCCTGTATGGCACCTCTACCCCTTCCCACTAGGCCATGTCATACTGCTGTGGGTAGAGAGCTACTGGCCCACAGCCAGCATGGGTCCAACCCACCCCCAACAGCAGCCTCCTGCCTCACCATTTTTTCCCATTCCACCTTTTCTTTCTCCCTCTAACCTAGCCCTGTACCCTACCTCTACCTCTTTCTGGTGGGCCATGTTGTGCCACCTTGACTAAAGAGACTTTGGCAGGCCAACAACCCAGGTCTTCCCCACCCCCACCCACCAGCTCATGATACATCATTTTTTCCTTTCCTCCCTTTCTTTGTCCCTCCCACCTAGCTATGTACAACACATCACTCCCCTCAAACCAGCCCCCAGGTCTCCCTGCCCCCACCCACCAGCTACCCTGTTTTTTCTTTTCTTTCTCTCTCTTTTCTTTTCTATGTTCCCTCTACCTAGACCTGTATAACTCCCCCCATTCCTAACAGTCCCTGCAGTGCTGCTGCAGCTGGACCATTCTTGGCTCAGGCCCTCCACTGCACTGGGCTCACAATGCCCCTCCCCTCCTGCCACTTGACCAACTTCTGAATGGAGGGAAGCAAGCCTGTATCACTCCCCATCTGACACTCTGTCCTCTCCAGTGAGGGGCTGTGAATGCTTCCACATCACTAGACCAACACCAGGAGGCAGACAGCACCTGCCTAGTCCGTCCTCAGCCACCTTGCCAAACCAGTGTACAGTGAAGCGGGCTTGTCCTGCCTGCTGCTGCCCTACCCACCCACACAAGGTGGTAAGAGCTATTATTCCCACAAATGAGCAAGTAGCAAATCACACCTGGCCCACCCACACTGACATATCAAAACAAAACAAAGAAGCAAGATGAAACAAATGAACACACTATTGATAAATACAGAAAATAGTATCTTAATGTCGCAGAGACAGCAAACCATATCAAAGCATATAAAAAAGCAGGACAAAATGGCTCCAGCAAGTGACCAAAATAAAGAAACAGATGATCTTCCACTAGAAGAAAAAGAAGGAGAACTTCCTGATATGAATTCAAAAGACTAATATTGAGGGCTCGCCAAGAGATTAGGAAAGAGATCAAGGAAAACACAAACAAAACCAAGGAAAAAATACACAAAATCATGGAAAATACAGACAAAACCAACAAAAAAAAATAGTCAAAATCAGAATAACACAGACACAGCGATAGAAGAATTCAGGAAAATAATACAAAAACAAAAAGTCAAAATAAATAAACAATTAGAAATCACACAAAAAGAGCAACTAGAAATCCAAAAGATAAAGAAAATTTCAGAAACAAACAATGCAATAGAAGGTTTTGGGAGCAAATTGGAAACGATGAAAAACAGAATCAGCAAGACTGAATGCAAATCCATGGATGCCATTTTGAGGAAAAGTCACAGAAAAGAATGAAGAAAATGAAGAAAACCTAAGAATTATGTGCAACACAATCAAGGGCAAAAATTTGCGTGTCATCGGAGTTCCAGAACCAGGGGAGAAAATGGAAAACACGAAGAAGATTGTTGAAGATTTCCTGGTAGAAAAATTCCCAAGTATCAGGAAAGAAGAAAAGCTGACCATTTAAGAAGTTCAACCAACCCCATAAACGATAGACCCCAAAAGAAAGTCACCACGACATATCATAATCACACTTGCCAAAACTAAAGACAAAGAAAGAATCCTGAGAGCAGTTTAAGAAAAATGAAAAGCCACTTACAAACAGGAAACAATAAGACTAAGCTCTGACTACTCAGCAAAAACTATGCAGGCAAGAAGGCAATGGGATGACATATATAAAACTTTCCAAGAAACAACTGCCAACCAAGAATAATATATTCTGCAAAAGTCTCTCAAATACAATGATGAAATTAGGACATTTCCATATAAACAGAAATTAAGAGAATTTGTAAAAAACAAATGAAACTCATAAGAAATATTAAAGGGAGTCATCCTTCAGTAACAGAACCGACAACATCAGACAACAACTGGAGTCTTGGCCATGGAACAGCATCAGCCAGACAGGAACCTAGGTAAAGATCTTTCAGTAATAAAACAAAGCTAAAAGACTTAAAACAGGGAAACAGACGCCAATCTTTAAATGACGACAGTGTCAAAACAATAAAAGGGGAAATAAATGATGTAGGTATAGAACTTTCAAGTGGAGAGGAAGTCAAGGCAATATCAAATTAAAAAAAAAGACTCATTCAAACTTGGGAAGATAAGGGTAAATGTCAAAGTTACTTCAAAAAAAGTTAACATATCTACTCATCAGAAATAGACAATAGATAAGTGGTAACTTTGGTGACGGGTAAGACAGTATGCAATTCTGGGGAAGCCAGCACAACTTGATGAAGACAAGGTCATGAAAGCTCCATAGCCACATCCAAACTCCCTGAGGGATCAAAATGCTGGGCTGGGGGCTGAAGGGACCATGGTCTCGGGGAAAATCTAGCTCAATTGGCATAACATAGTTTATAAAGAATATGTTCTACATTCTACTTTGGTGAGTAGCATCTGGGGTCATAAAAGCTTATGAGCAGCCATCTAAGATACTCCACTGGTCTCACCCTGC